GTACAAAAATTTAGACCTTACATCGACGGAGTCAAATGCACCATTCACCGTATGCGCCACTAGAAGCGCTATTACATCGAAAAGACTTAACTGGAAGGCTAGCAAAATACAAGATTATTGTGCAAGACTTTGACTTAACCATCAACTACCGTCCCGAAAAAGGCAATATTGTTTGCGATACTCTTTCCTCACACCCACCTAACATAAACGCCGTCTTTAAGGACAATGATATCGACTTGTTGCCTCCAAAATAATCGGACAAATAAGATAGGAACAATATAATTCTTCTTGGATAACGTCCTATAAAGAAGCCTTGAGGAAGGATGAACCAAATCCCTATACTCGAGACTAACTTTTGCTCAATGGTATACTCTACAAGTTGCCCGAGCGAGTATATCAAGTCCCACAGATAATCCTTTCAGAAGAATCACCATCAAAAAAGTACTCAACAAGTTCACGAATCTCGTTTCGGTACTGCCCACCTAGGTATCTAAAAAAACAGAAGCGGCAATAACGAAGCTAATATGGAACAGAATGTCCAACGACATTAGTAAATACATTGAATCCTGCCCGCCATTTACCATTCTAACGAACCCTTGTGATTTGAGATACCCAAACGACCATTCCAACGCGTCTATTCCGAAAACGGACCGCTTCCATTAACACTCAGTGTAAACAAATATATAATTGTTTTTGTGGGCGCGGAGCTGTTCGCCGCATTGAACCACCGGAAACCCTACTCACTGATCGGGGTACTAACTTCATGAGCGACTTCTTTTAGAATGCCATCAAAACTTTGAATGTTTCTCACGAAACTAGCACTCCATACCACGATAACGGACAAGTAGAGGGTGCGAACAAAACAATAGAAGAACTAATTGCATTAGCAGTAACCCAAAAAGAAGACCAATGGGAAGACATTATTCATGTTATGACTCACGGCTACAACAACTCAGACAATACATCCACTAAATACACACCTTACTTTGTAATCCATGGTCGAGAATCTAATAATGCTTTCCGCCCAGCCTTATAACTACCAATGAAGACTTTTATTAACGAAGAAGACTACGTAAGCCAGTTCACATCCACTCTTCAAAACGTGTGGAAAGACTAGAAAATAATCTAACTACTTCACAAAATGTTAAAAACGTCATATGAAGAAAACGAACTAATA